GAGATCCCGAAACACCTGTGATGCACCTCTCTGGTTTTGACTGGTTTATCTCTTCAAGACTTTTCTTCCATTCAGGCCCAGTTTGGTCCTTTTGCCAGACATGCTGCACCGGGTAATATACACCTAAGACAAACCTTAAGAGGAAGACTGAACGGCAATCTGGCCAGAGTTGTGCTGTTTACTGTTTGTGGTAGTATTTATTTGTTTAGTAGGGTTTTTTGTTGTTGTTTTACCTGCTGGGGGCTTCACCTGGTGTCTGTTTCTGCCCCTCTATTTTAGGTTTTCCTATTACTCCTCAAAGAAGGGCTGTTGTTACTACTGCGCTTGTACCAGAGCCCACTGGTGTGTGCAAAGTGTGGGGAAGGGACACTACAATGTTCATTCAGATCAGATCTTAGCATGTACTGGGTCTCTGTCATACACAGATGTATCTCCAAGGTGATGCAGGTTTTAGTTTGGTGGCCCTTAACTCCCTTCCCTGGCCGCAGCGGTTCCTATTTAGTTCCAGCCCCAGTGACATGGGGAAGCTGGAGAGGAAAGAGAGCCTGCTCCTACTTGGTATAAGGCTCTGAAGTCTCACTTTGAAGGGTTCTGGCTGTTACTTCGTGATTGCCCCCTGTTCTATTTTGCTCTACATCTTCGCTGTATCTGGTGGGTTCCTGAAGGTGCATCTCCAGACCCCTAAGCAACTCCTCACAAGTGTGACTTCCAGGGGCTTCTTTCGTCTCATGTCAGTCCATAATCAAGGGTTTTGCTGGAAGTTCCATCCCAGCCCCTGGCATACATATACCCAAAGGGTCTGGAATGTTCTGGTGGAAGCTCCATCCCAAGACCCCTCCCCCATCTCTCTCCAAACTCTGCCACATCTCAGAAAGCCTGCCAAAAGATGCCCCACTTCCACAGGGCATTTAAACTGCCCCCCCCCCCGAAAACAGACACGTGGTTTTGCATCTCTCTTTTCTGGCCTCTGGGGGGGGGGGCTGGGGAACAAGAAGGGGAGGAGGGACTGGAAAATCATCCTGGAGCGCTTTATCCATTAAATCTGTGTCTTTTAGTTTGATGTGATTTGATTTGGATTGTTATGTCGGCGGAGAGGCTTATTGGGGTGCAGAGACTTTTCTTTTCACTCAGCCCCTAGCAAACCATCTGCATTCTCTTCTAAACACACACACACACACACACACACACACACACACACACACACACACATTTTATTTGCACACTATTTATTTGCATATGACTGCACGTATGCTGTGGTGCACACATGTGAAGATCAGCAGACAATTTTGGGGAAGTCAGTTCTCCCCTTCTACCATGTTGAGTCCTAGGGCTTGAACTCACAGTCAGACTTGGCAGCAAGCTCCCTACCGTATGAAGGGAGTCATCTGATTCGGTTCTTAACCAGGTTCTAGCTCCCGTGACCCCTCCCAGCAATCTGACTGCAGTTAGCTCTTAGATGAACGATCCTGAGAGACCCTGGGGAGATAATTTGCTCTGGAATCCTAATTCTGAGGGGTTCAAGGAAGGGTTGATTTGGTCCAGCTTTTTGTTTTGAGGTGTGTGTTACAGATCAAGCCTAGGCAAGTCCCCCCATGCGTCTCCAGGTTCTTCTGCTTGGAGGAGTGCCAACTTACATGGTCCCCAGCAGCAGCACTTGCCTCTGAGCAGTCACCCCTGCCCCTCCACTTGATCCTGTGTCCCTTTCTTGTCCCTACATTTGCTGTATACTCTCTGGCTACGGTGACTGTCAACTGACCTTGAGGAAAGGGTTGAGTTCACTGCCCTCTCTTACCCACACCTCGCTGGTCTCAGTGTCATTACTCAAGGACAGTTTACAGGGCCATTGCCATCCACAGCACGCGCTGACAGTGAAGGAGGTTCTAATTGTCCTTCTGGGGTTGCTGGGCTCCTGGGCTCCAGAACAAGGCCGTATTTTCTCTGAGATCAGAATAGGAGAAGCTTCACCAAGATTAACAAAATAATTTCTCAAGGTCTGATAACACTTCCTAATTTCCTGATTTTAAAGATGAAGTTGGCCAAGTATGGTTCAAATACTGCCAACATCATGGGGTCTCTCCTCTCAGGCCAACCTATTTGAGGATTTCCTGGGAAGTTTCAAAAGGCCTTCCACTCAGTCTCACTGAGTACTGTTTACTTGAAGCCAAACTTAAACCCAAACCCATGCATCCATGTCCTCTTCATTCACGCTCAGCTCGGACTGATGGCCTCTGGAAACCCAGTCTTCCGTGCTGCCAACTGCATGGAAAGCCACGGTCCTCGTCCACAGAACAGGTCACCTTGTGGGGGCCCTTTGACGTAGGATCTTCAGTCAGTCACCCATCCTGAGCCCAGTCAAGGAAATTTGGGAGCCTGTCCTCATCTGTACACAGGATTCTGTACTCATAGAGAGCACACTGGAAGCACTGGGGCCCACACTCTATCTAAAACAGTTTCCGATGCCTTCCCCAGAGGAACACTTGGGTGTTGTACTAATCAGCATCAGCAAGCACCGAGTATGTAATCTTCAGGCCACAGCACACTGTACTATCTGTCCTTCCAAAACACCAATGCATTTTATCTGTACTGGCTCAGGGGCCTCGGGTCTCTTTCCCTGGTCTTTTTGCTTTTGCTCCTACAGAGGGAGCACGGCAAAATGCCCTAGGTCACAACAACAGGGTCCTAGTGGCAAAACACCCAAGCAAGAAACCAAATGCCAGTACTTGCTACTCCAGATGCCCGCAGCAAAAGGCTGAGTCCAGTTACTAGGATGCAGTTCAAGGCTTCCCGAGTGCTAGACCAGGACTCCACCAAGTGAGCAACATCTCTAAGCCCAGAATCAGGTCAGCTACAAGGAAGTTCCTCCATATCCCAGAAGCTGCTGGTCCACAGATTTCCAGTAAATCCTGTTAATAGTTTTGTGTCCCCAGGACCAAAGTTCTTCAGAGAAACAACTTCATTAAGGGCTAAAAGGGTTTGACTTGTGGCTGCAGGGGTCATCGGTCTGTTGAGTTGGGGAAGGCAGTAGTGTTCTGGTAGCAGAGACCTCACGATGGCACTGGCCACTCACGAGCCACCCTGGGAAGCAGAGAGCTCCTCAACTAGGGACCGGCCCAATAACCTTCAAGAGCAAGCCCCTACTGATCCAATTCCAGCAGCTAGGAACGCACTTGCCGATATCTCCCCTGACCTCCCACCCAACCAAAACATAAAACCCACTAACATCAACAGTTGGGGAACAAATACTCAAGACATAAACCCATCGGGACATTTGAAACCACCGTCCCCAATAGGGGACAAGTTATTAAAGGCCTTGCTGATGCTGACTGCAGCAGGCAGAAGTGAGCACAAGGGATAACTGGGTGGGCAGGGCCTGAAGTGTCTCAGGTACCCATCCAAGACTTTGGAACCCATATACAAAGTGTATTCTGTTAGGGAGTCTTGGGCCTTCGGGACTCTTCTCCGTGTAGTTAGAATGAACAGCTCCTGCATTTTACTGCCGAAGGTTCAAGGTGTAGTTTTACTACCAACTACAGTCTTAGCCAGGAGACAACGTTGAAAAGTTTCTTGTACATTAGGCAAAAAGGTTATTACTTGGAACAGGCATCTTCGTGCCCAATTTAAAACCTGATTTTTCTAGGAGCTGGAGAGATGGTTTAGCAGTTAAGAGAATGGACTGTCCTTCCAAAGGAGTTGAGTTTGGTTCCCAGGACCCATGTCAGGGAATTGTAACTCCAGCCTAAGGCAGCTGACAAACATTCTCCATAGACACTGCACTTACAGACACACGCATACACACTTCCTCTGCAGGCACTGCACTTACATGCAGACACACATGTGTGTGCGCACACACACACACAGAGTCTTAAAGAAAAGGCCTTGAGCAAAACGAACAAGCCCTCTGACTTCTCAAGAGCATGCTCATTCTGAGGAAAAGATGAGAGACTAAAAACAAGCAGGCAGGACTCCCGCCCTAAAACACATTACCCCCTTTTCGAGGCTCACAACCGAGAATTCCAGTGAGTGGGGACAGCCATGCCTTCTTCCTGGTGGGGAAGACTGTCCCGTGCGTCACAGGCTTGCTGTACCGATGACCTATGAGGACTGCACTTCTCAGCTGTGACAGCGCACAATGCCCCCACTGAGGGGAGAGAAGGCAAAACACACCCCTAGTTGTTTCCTGGGTATCACCCTGGCTAGGCTGGCCTCTGCTGAGTGCTGGGATTAAACATGTACCACCATGCCTGGCCCCATTCTCAATTTAACCTCAAATTTTGCCTGTGTGCTTAAGCGTGAACCTACCACTGTGAACATGTGGTCAGAGGCCAGCAGGTAGCAGTGGGCTCTCTCCTCCTATACCATGCTGGTCCCAACCTTGACAATAAGCACATTCCCCAACAAGCCATTATATTAGCCCCTTACTTCTATTTTGTCTAGCAAACACTGACAGCCTTGACATTAATACTTGGCTTATGGTAATCAATTGGGCATGTTATTTTTATAACTTTGTGGTATTCATGTATGCTAGAATCTGTGCATGGGTGCAATGATCATGTGTGTATAGAAATAGGGAGACCCAAAGTCAAAGCTAGGGTCCTCTTTGACTACTCTCCATTACTCCATTATATATATGTATATGTATATATATATACATATATATAATGTATATATATATACTATATATATAGTGTATGTATGTATAAGTACACATATATGGGGCATTTCACTTCCTGTGTGCTGGGATTACAGGCGGCAACATGCCCACATGGGTTTGGGGTTGGAATTCTAGCCCTTACCCACTGGGCCATCTTCCCAGTCACCTTATTTATCTTTTTAAAGGATAACTTATTTTTATTTTAAATCATGTGTCTCTGAGGGTCTATGCGTGAGTGAGCTGTCCTTGGAGGTCAGAAGAGGGTGTTGGATCCCCCAGAGCTGGAGTTCCAGGCAGCTGTGAGCTGCTAGATTCGTGTGCTGGGAACTGGATCAGGGTCCTTTGGAAGAGTAGCAAGTTCTTAACCACAGAGCCATCTCTCGACCCCCAAGGTACATACTTTTCTTCTGTTATTGAAAGAGAGTTTTGCTATGTAGCCAGACTAACTCTGGAACTCAATATAATCCTCTTGCTTCTGCTTCCTGAATGCCCGGATTCTAGGTGTCCACCACCATGTCTGGCTGCTTCATAACACCTTGTCACAGTGGTTCAAATAACTGCTTTTATGAAATTGTGAAATTCTGTTTTGAGCAACAAGAGACCTTCTGCTGCAGCTGTGACTTCTTTACCACATTTGCAGTCTGCTAAGTCGCAGCATGCCATCCAGACGCCCGAGGAACAAGCGCTGAGAAACCTCCGGGAAGCGAGACTTAAAAGGCCTTCTGAAGGCCTCGAGACTTCGGAGCATTTCTCAAACAGTCCTCCCAACAGCGGTAAGCCTCGAGGAATGCTGTCTCTGCGCGTCTCTTAGCTGTTGTTTAAGAAAATACCCCATTCATGAGGTGGTGGCGCATTTGATATCACCACCATTTAAAGAGGAATGGAGTTACGGAACAAGAAGTATATAATTAGTATATAATCCCTCTTAGTGAGGGAGGAAAGCACAAAGCCATGGAAGAAAGGACAGGCTCTGGAGGCCAGGCAATCAGTGCACACCAGAAATGCATTTCAACTTTTATTTGAAAACAACTTAAAATTTTAGACAAATGATTTTAGTATATAAATTTGATTTTGCTTTTATACAGAATATAAAGATTTCCCTCATTAATCTTCCATGTGAAGGGGATACAGGCCAGAAGAAAGACGCACTCAGAACACAAAGTACACCTCATATGTGTGGCACTGGAGACAAGCGGTGTCGTGCTCCTGCACATATATTAGGACCAAGTGGTGACATCACACATTAAGGGGGAGGAGAAAGATTCTAGCCAATCAGATTCAAGAAGCAAACAGGACACAGAATCTGCAAATAAGACCAAGTCAGCAACTTTAGTCAGGACAGTGCAGGTCTATGGGGCTGTGAGGCTACAGTGTGTATACGGACAAAACAGGGAGAGTTAGGTAGAGAGAGGCTCAACGAGGGAGTTTTCACTAAAGCAAATGAACTTCTTGTCAACTGCCAAAACAAAACAAAATGAAAGGGAGTCTGTGAGTGTTAGAACACCCAGGGCGGGTTAGACCAGCGCCTGTGCAGCATGCTAAGTTAGTTACAGCTTCTTCATTGGTGTGGAGCAATCATTAATGGTCTCGTTTTGCCTCTTCTTTCCAAACTCAGGCATGTCTTATTTTAGATGGAGTATAGCTTTTATCTATTATTTCATCCTGTAAAAACATGTGAAGACAACGTTCATTCTGGGCCAGAGGATGACCAGCGACCCTGGGAATAAAAAACACAAACTTTTAGTCCAGTGTTTATTAAAATGGTGTACGGGGTAAAAAGAAACACATTTTAAGGTTAGGAAATATGCAAAATTTCTAAGCATTATTATCAACTACCCATAAAGCTATGCTATCAAATACTGGTCTTTTCCTTTGGTCCACAAAGTGATTTAAAAACATTTTCAAGATGGTAAGATGGTGCAACAGGCAAAGGCGCCTTTGGCCAAGCCTGATGACCTGAATTCAATCCCCGGAAGCCCACATGGTAGAAGGAAAAAAATGATTCTGCAAATTATCGTCTAACCTTCACATATACACTGAGCTGGCAATATACAAACACTCAAGTAAACTCAACAACAGAAAAATAAAAGTAACTTTTAAAACTTTGTAGTGTTTCTGGAACATATCCACTTAGCTTCTCAACCAGCTGGTACATGCCTAGGAAACTGATATTTTATTGTTATACATGAATAGTTCACTGGATTTTAAGGATCTATTTTAAAGACACAAAATCCAAACCAGTGTGTTAGTCCACACCTTTAATCCCAATACAGGGGAGACTGGGCAAGGAGGCCCTGAGTCTGAGGCTAGCTTGAGCAAATACAAAGAGATAAAACAATAAAACGGGGTATAGGTTTTGAATTAGAAATACAAAAAGCTCAATGGTAAACTAACACTAAGAAACAAACAGAACCATTTAGGTCCTTTGCTTTTCTCTTCTTCCCTTTCCCCACCTCTAAGTTTTCCTCTGTAACTGGCGATCTGACTTATATCAGTCAAGTTTAGCTGTGCCTTTTCAAAGAGCATGTTCACAAAAATGGAACTGCAGGGATGTGGTGGTGAACTCCTGTCATCTCAGCACCTTGTGGAGAGCTCAAAGCTGGTCTAGGTTACACTGTGAGACCTCGTGTACAGCCTGGGCTAACAGTGAGACCTCGTGTACAGCCTGGGCTAACAGTGAGACCTGGTGTACAGCCTGGGCTAACAGTGAGACTTCGTGTACAACCTGGGCTAACAGTGAGACCTGTGTGCTACAGTAGGTAATGTACAGTACATTAGTTAAAATCACTGTGTGTGCTCACATGGCCGCATCTGCTAAGATTTGGCTAATCCTGTAGAGCCTAACACTGACACATAACCACAGTGGGAGCAGTGGTATGCCTGCAGTCTCATTACTCAGAGGAGAACTGCCGCATGACTAGTGTCTGAGCATCTGTCCACTGTCTGTTTGCGCTCCACCTTCCTTCTTCATCCTTCTCCCTGCAGACCCAGTTGGGCTTGACCTTACAACACTTCTGTTTAGCTTCTTACGTGCTGGGTCAACGTAAGAAAAAACAGTCAGGCATGGTAACACATGCCTTTAATCCCAGTGCTAGAAAGCAGAGGCAGGCAGATCTCTGAGTTCGAGGTCAGCCTGGTCTACAGAGCTGCTCTCACTGTGGTTATGTGTCAGTGTTAGGTTCTACAGGATTAGCCAAATCTTAGCAGATGTGGCCATGTGAGCACACATAGTGATTTTAACTAATGTACTGTACATTACCTACTCTAGCACACAGGTCTCACTGTTAGCCCAGGCTGTACATGAGGTCTTACAGTCCAAGACAGACAGGACTACATAGAGAGACCCTGTCTCAAAAACAACAACAACAAAAACAACAAAAAACAAGAATATTGGTTTGAGCTTATCAATAGTTACTAAAAGACAAACAATTCTAAATTTTCTTACATTTTTTCAAAAAAACATTTTGCCATGAAAAAATTTTTAATGTATACTTTTACATAAAACATGCTGGTAATAATGCTACCTGCAATCAAACAAAATGATTGCAAATGTACCGTACATTTTATTATTCACATGAGAATATACCTTAAATTAGAATCACGAGTAAAACTATTTCCTGAATGATGCAATTTTAAATGTAATTTGCATAAATTGTCCAAGAACAACAAATATAAAACACATGTCCACACAAAACCCTCACTTCAACCACTCAAGAGTGTCAGCATTTACCACATGGTATTCAATGTGGAGATCTTCCACTTCATACTAAAGTCAGTATGCCCAAGAAAAGGCAATACTAAAGTTGCCCAAGGAAAGGCAACATGGATTAAACTTAACATTTAAATGAGAAGTAGTCAGGGCTGAAGAGCTAGGTCAGCAGTTAGAGCACTGACTCCTCTCGTATAGGACCTGAGGTCGATTCCCAGTTTGTATTGGGAACAGACACACATGCGGGCAAAACATCTAACACACAAAATAAAATACTGAAAAATAATGACTCGTAGTTATCAAAGTTCACGGCACCATTCTCCTCACTCCTTGAGGAGCAGCAAGTACTTACTTGTTTATAAACTGTTCCAGCCCTTGCTTCCTTTCCTCGATGAAATTGTCATCAAATATTCCATCGTCTCCTCTAAAAGGAAGCTGCCGCAAAAACGCTTTCCCGGGGAGTGGGGGAACTACAACCTAAAACAACAGCAGAGTAAGTTCCTGATGACGACCCGGGACATCTCAGTAAGGGAGTGAAGCGCAAGCCTGTGCACTGAGCTTATCTACCTCGGGACCCAAAGTGTGGCATCCATGTGCTCACACACATTTATTTAGGTGGCTGGATGAACACGGACAGACAGACACACACACACACACTGAATAAATGTAAAATTTTATAAAACAGAAAATTTATGAGGCTGGAGAGATGGATCTGTGGTTAAGAGCACTGACTGTTTTTCCAGAGAACCCAGGTTCAAGTCCCAGCACCCACATGGCAGCTCATAACTGTCTGTAACTCCAATTCCAGGGGATCTGACAATCAAGACAAAACACCAATGTATAAAAAATAAATTTTTTTAAAAAAGGAAAATTTATAAATAAACCCATAGTTATGTGGTACATGCTTTTAATCCCAGCACCTGGAGGCAAAGATAGGCAGATCTTGCCTGCAGGAGTGAGGTCCACCAGGTTCAGGTGAACAACTTGTGGAAGACAGTTCTTTTCTTCCATCATCTGAGTTTCTGAGGTTGACCTCAGGTCATCAACAAGTGCCTTTACCTGCTGAGCATCTCACCAACATTACAGCCAACAGTTTTTGTTTAAGTAGTATGAAAAGATGCAATTAGGCCAGGCCGTGGTGGGGCATGCCTTTAATTCCAGCACTCGGGAGGCAGAGGCAGGCAGATCTCTGTGAGTTTGAGGACAGCCTGGACTACAAGAGCTAGTTCCAGGACAGGCTCCAAAGCTACAGAGAAAACCTGTTTTGAAAGCACCCCCCCCCCAAAAAAAAAGAAAAGATGCAATTAGAATTTCTTTTCTGTCTTCTTTTTTGAGACAGAAGCCTGGTTGACGTCAAATTCACTATGTACTAAGGATGACCTTCCACTTCTGGTTCTCCTGTGCTGGGATGACCCGCATGTACCACCACACTGGGTCTGTGCCCTGCTGGGAACTGGGCTAAATCGGGGCCTTGTGCATCCTAGGCAAGCACTCAACCGACAGAGCTACACATCCTCAGCTAATCAGAATTCTTATCAATTTATAGTCAAGAGTAGTGGGGCACATGTAGAGGAAAGAGGAAAAGACCTCAGGGGTATCTTTGGTTACATAGTGAGTTTGAGGCAGGCCTGGGCTACCTGAGACCCTGTCTGGAACAAACAAATACTTCTTAAATTAAAATCTGTGAATCCAAGAATATAT